ATGCATTTGTGATTATTACATTACAGGCACAATATAAAGGCTTTTACATGTAGCTGCAGTCACACTGCCAACTGGTGAAGTGCCTTTGTTTCACTTACATTATTGGGACCCAAACCTGTTAAAACGCTCACATTGACGGGACTTGGCATTTCTTAAACTGATTTTTATTGAAGTTCCTGGATTTACACAGGAATATAATGCGAGTTCAACACCAGGTCTTTTTGTTGCTGTAGCAGAAGCAGCAGACAACTGCATAAGCTGCTTGGTCTTTTTTTTAGTTCAGTAGAAGATAAATAAGCTTTTAGTTTTATAGCTCTGACTCTGCATCCTCTCACATACAATACATGTACACATGCACACAGTAGTGGACATTATAATCCTCATCTTGCTGAAATCCTCTATGCACTATATCATATTGTGGAAGCTGAAAGAAAGCACTAGCCATTCTTGGATGACACCAGTGACCTACAGTTTATACCCAACGGCATCAATTTAATCTGAGCATGTGCAGGATGGAGCATAAAAGAACCTTAAAGTTACAGTAATACAAATGCTCCAGCACCAGATATAAGAAAGCACTCAATAACAGAAAACCACAGCAGTCCAATTAAAAACATTCTACTCATTTACACAACTACAAGTGAAACACTGCTGCTCCAGTTGCACAACAATTTAATAGTTAATCTGCTGTAAAGCTTTTATAGCATTGTTGCAATGGTTTGTGCACTGTCACATCATCTATATGTTCTGATAGCATCAGGTTTTGACTCATTTCCATCTCTGAGGTCACTGCATATATTTAAACAGTTTACAGGCAGTGCTGCACCAGACATTGTGTCACTACACTTACAGGGCAGGGTTGCATCATATTTGGGTTAAAACAGTTAAATGCTTTGTGAAAACCTCCAGTGGCACCAAAAGCAGGATTTTCAGCTTGTTGCTTTTAGTTTAAGATGCATTAACGGGCATGGTTTTTCAAAAGTATCTAAATTAGTCAAAACAACACCATTAACTGAACTGCAGTCCTATTTTTGTGATGCTTTAAAATCAACTTGAATCCACCAACAGTAATCAGCAGGTCAGAGGGGGAATATAAAGTGCAGCTATAGTCCAGTCGTCTGCAACTTCTCTAGAGCTAACACTTTTAATTCATTAGAGAAAATTAAAGTCCTGGAACAGCTGAGATGTTTTGCATCTGTGCTTCATTCAGGTTCAAGGTTGACTTGGTCGACTGTCAGGTGATGCAGATGCACCTTGCTGTCATAAGCTTCCAGGAATAAACACAAACACAATGCTTAAGCGGAGATAACAATCACATGGAGCAATCCTCCTCCTCTTCCTCTTATCATTAAAATAACAGTTTGATCTACTGTTTATCAGGCATTTCCCCTTTTCCTCATCCTTCTTTCATTTTCTT